CTTCTGCAGTCTTTGCCCATATATGTGCTAAAGACCAACCTTTCCACACAGTGACGCTTAAATGTGCAGCTTCAATGTTAGATTTAGAAATCTCATCTTGAGAGAAAAGGTATTACTCCATTTTTTTTTTCCTATGAAGTGAGTTGTTATTTCAGTGAGATTAAATATTGTAGTAATATGCCAGGCAGCTATGTTCAGAGTACAGGTCTAAGCCTGTAGGTTAAGGGTTGCTTTTGTTGTACAAACTGACATAACTTTAACATTGAGTTTTACTGTCTCTCTTACTCCTAATCTCTGGAGACATAGCCTAGGTAATAAAGAAAAGGAAAGCTTTGCATGCTGCAGGATAGTGATTCAATAATTTGGCTAATGGGACATTAGTACTGTGTGCAGATAATGAGCTGGTTTTGCTAGTCATGTTCTAGGCAAGAGGCATGTGTGAGAGTTAACTTTTTAAGACCAAAGAAAGAGCCTGTATTCACTGAAAAAATACTTTGCCTGGTTACCTGGTTGCTAGTAAAGGAAAATCTGACCACTTAAAAATATCTCTCTCTATTGAAAATGAGAATTACTTTTTTTTTTTCCCCCTTCTCCTCTCCTTTCTTTGTGAAGTTCTTTTCCAATTAGGGATCAGATTTCTGTTAAAGCAAAGACTTTGTCCCTTGAAAACGCGTAGGCTTTTGGAGGAATTATCCAAGCAAGTCATAGAGCCTTTTCTTCCAAGGGTTCTGCGCTCATCTTGTCTTGAAGAAACTGAGCTAGTATTCTGAACATAGCTGCTCTTATTTTTACCAAGAAAGATGGAGCAAACAAGGTATGCTGCTGCTGAGCTCCCCAAAGCCCCCAGCAAGCTCCACGTTCTGGTATTATTTGCAAAAGCTATTTTTAGTCTCAGTTTTGGGCTTACCACTGGGTCATCACACTTCCGTTTTTCATAGGATCCAGCTCTCTAAAGACAATCCAACTTTTTGGACACGTTCTTTCACCTGAGCGTATAGGATGCCTACGGTGAGGTGGTATGAATGGTGTCCTCTGCCCTTCCCTCTTCTCCTTGGGATCCCACAAGCTGCACGTTTTGCCGTATGTTCAAACTGAACCTGCAACTCTGTGACTCTTTATTCTAAACGCAGGGTTTGGGGGATGGTTCCTCAGATGCTTTCCCACCAAAAGTTTTAGGCTGATGTTTTCAATGTTAGAGTTGTGTTCCCACTTTCTAGCCTAGGAGATGGTCTGGGGTGAGATAAAATGGAGAGCTCAGCCTGTGTTGACTGAGGCTTCAACAGAGGTTTCCTTGGACACTTTATCACTTTTTTGTTGTTTTGGGGGTTCCCCCCACCCCCCTTCAGCTTGTTTAGCTGTCTAACACTGTCCTCTTACCTCCTATACCTTGTTCTTCCTCTTTCCTTTGTTTTCATTGACTTTGGATCAACAAGCTGAAGGCTGGTATAAAGCTAGCTGTTATCAGAGTAAAAGCCTTACCACAGAGAGTTTCTTGGCAGGGCAACGTTTTGTTTCATAGCTTTTAGTATTAGCCGTTATTTTTGTTTTTTTTCCTGGAGGGAAGGGAAGGGCTCTGATCTTTGTAGCATCAACCTTTCTGTGTTCTGACAAGTTAATCAAAAGTCAGGATATTAAACGAGCAGTCAGTTTAGATGTGCTGAATCACTGTCACCTTTAGTCTGCATTCATAGACAGCATTTTCCTTTTTTAGCCTAGCCTTCAATTGAATCTGGCAATTTCTCAGTCTGTTTGCCTTAAAAGACTTATTAGTCTGACGCAACCACTAGAGGCAATCAGTTAACAGCACTCCTCTGCAGGCGCATGGAAAAGACCTTGCTGCTTCCGAAGTCCCGTACATTTTGTTCCTCTGAGATTTTTTTTCCCACCTTTGAAGTGCAGTGTTTTGTAACCAGCTAGAATTGAGCTAGATAGCAGTTATCCTGGTGAAGCTTATAGGAGAAGAAAGCAGTGGTGTCTATTCCTTTTTGCAGAACGCTGCTGGGAACATACTGACAAATAGCATCTGAGTCACTGGAAAATTGTTTTTCGTTAATTGCCCTTCTTTGGGTTTTTTCTGTGTGTGCGTGTGTATTTTGGAATAGAAAAGAGAGGAAACATGTTTAATCCGTACTGATAAATCTGGTGTTTCATTAGAGGAACTGTGGCTAATCAGCAGCTTCAAGCAGGGATTACAGTAATTATGTGGGAAGAAATGCAATAGAGAATTACATTTAAAGATGCCTTTCTCCAAGTCGTGCAGTCAGGTACCTCCTTGCCACTTAAAAACATGGTACTACTGTGAAACCGAAGTCAGGGAACTGCTTTTTCTATCTTGGAAAAGGTCTCAGGAGGAGAGTCTTCAGTGCCTATTAGTAGTTAAATGTAGCTGGTAGGCTGAGAAGGGGAGCTTCCAGGCCAAGGAGAGCTTTTTGATCCAGAGAATATAGTGAATTGCCCACTTTGTTCGTTCTTAGTGCTCTAATGGATGTCTTCTGTATATTGCTTGTTGTTTTCCGTAAAATTTGAAGCCAACAAGCTGCTCAAGAGAACAGTGCATTGAAAACAAGCCCTGGAAAAGTCTTAAATTGCTTATGCCAGGCTCCTTGTGATCGAGCTCCAGTGAAATTAGCAGCAGTGTTACCAAGTGGTGATATTGTAGGTGGATAGACTTAATAAAAGGTTATGATCCACGCAGTCAGAGTTTTCTGCCTTTTTTTCCCCTCTGCTCCCCTACCCCCGGCTTTGACACTGGTGCTGCAGAATTTCCTACGCTGCCAGAACAACAAGACGAACTACAACTTGGTGTGCGAGACGCTGCAGTTTCTGGACTGTATCTGCGGAAGCACAACTGGTGGACTTGGACTTCTTGGCCTGTATATAAATGAGAAAAATGTGGCGCTGATCAACCAGACACTGGAAAGTTTGACTGAGTACTGTCAGGGGCCTTGCCATGAAAACCAGGTAATGTGTCGGTAGCTATGGAAGGAGCAGCCCTTTCTCCATCTACCTGCGGTGTGATCTGTTGAGCTCGGCTTTTGCTTTACAACGCCACTCGCTTTACTTGCCTGACGTTTCCCCCTCTTCCCCTTCTTTTTTTTTTTCCCCTTTACGAAGCCCTAAGAATGAACTTCTTCCTTGGGGCCCCTTCCGAGGAATAAAGCCATTTAAAACATCAGTAGGCATTTTCCTGCTCTGCTAGGATTTTCGTTGTCTTACTAGACTTGACAGGGAGAGTGGGCAGTTTTTATGCTTAAAATTCTTTATAGCAAAAATGTTGCTAAAACCACACTCCATTGTCAGTTGTAAACAAGGCCAGAAAAGTGGCCACCCAGCCCAACGGGAGAAGCTTGAGCTCTGCAGCTTCACTGATGAAGGGATAACCACGTGGGGGTTTGAAGTTATTTTCATACTTAGTCTTGTGGGTTGCTGCCGACGATTCCTGCGCTCGTGCAGCGCATGCGCGCCGGCAGTGCTGGGGAGGACGCGGCGCTGGCTCTGAACGTGCGTGGGCTGCACTCTGGCAAGGATTGTGGAGCGTCCAAGAAGGTCCGGCTTCTCCTGACACCATATTCGCTATGGGCAATGTGTTACGCTGTAAGCAGGAATAACTATTTTAAAGCAAGCATGGCGGTTTAAGAAATCGCGTTACAGGGAAGGCATAACTGAATGACGATGACAATCGTATCAGATAAAGCAGTTACTGGCCCAAGGCTAGACTTCCTCTGGTCTGTGCCTCTCAGGTTAAAGAATTTGGAACGGATATGGAAGGTGCTTCGTACAACCAGGAGCTTGTAGCTGCTCAGGAATTATGATTTGTCGCAATGGGGAAGATCATAGGGCAGCAGCAGCTGCGTTGCTTGGCTGTACTTCTCCGCTGTATCCTACCATCTCCTCACATACTGTACAGACGTGTTTTAGAATAGCACTACCAGTTAATCAGGCCCATTCATCTACCTTTGATCGAAATGTGATTCATGCTATAACTGTTCCCTTTAATGAAATGACATCTAAAGCCTGAAAGTCTACAATAAACCATGCTAAATAGATAGCTACCCCAAAATAATTTTCCAAAATGTATGGCATTAACTAAACAAATAACAGGTGCTCAATACATCTTTTAGAGAACACTTTTTGCATTGGGCTGGCATGATCTGAGAGTCACATCTTCCAGGTGTGGATGCAACCCATTTAACAAGCAAGCTTCTGGACTTGCAAGTAGGGATATCTGTTTGTTTTTCCCATTTGCATCCTGTTTAAGTATGGTATAAAAAGACTGGAATATGACTTTCTGAAAACTCTTCAAGCAAGTCTTTGCTTTGAAATGTCTTTTCTATGTTTCGAGCATAATTTACAGCAAAGCTAAACAAAGCATAGTGGGGATGACCACATGCTCAGATGAAATCACGCATGCAGGTGTGCATGACGGTTTATCATAACAGGAAGTTTATCTCTGCCATGCAGACCACATTAGGTGGAATAATAACTTTTGAGTGTAGGCATGTCTTTGCAGTGTAAATTGATGACCAAGCAGGACTCTAAATTTTGAATCCAGCAAGCTACTGTCAGTTTGTACGTTTTAGCTATATGCCATTATAAAAGCAAGGTTAAAGGGTAAGCGAGAAGGTTATGAAAAATGCATGCTGTTTGGTTAGAGGGCACCAAAGTGGGTGCTGATTGGCACATATAAAGTAAAGGAAACTTCCTAATCTTGAAAAAATATCCTTCCTTAGCTACGTGTTCAGCCTGAGCCCTTTGGCATGAAAATGCTTCATTTATCAACCGCGTTGCTTTTTGCTTCCTGAGTCTGGGTGGTTTCAGTAGGACGTGCCACAGCTGATTATTGGAAAAGCTTGAAACAAAATGTTTTAATCTCTTGTTGTTCCACTGAGTAGAGTTTTCTGTTCAGTTATCCATCTCAAACAGCTTATGAGGTGACGAAAGAGAGGTGACTCTTCTGTTCTGGCGGGGTCACTAGACTAGGCTGCGTGTGTAGTGTAGACAATTAGTGAAGTTGTGATGAATTTTCTTTGAACAGAACTGCATTGCTACTCACGAATCCAATGGTATTGACATAATCACGGCATTAATTCTCAATGACATCAACCCCTTGGGAAAGAAGAGGATGGACCTTGTGTTAGAACTGAAGGCGAGTGAATGTTTTATGCAATCCACATTAACAGTAAGATGAAGCATAATTTTATTGTTGGAATCATGTGGGTGTTTATTATATCCCAATATTCAGAAGTGCCCAAAAATTATATGCATCAGAGAGCTGAAGGCAGAGCCCAAAGATTGTTTGTCACAGATATTTCATCTTTTAAATGCAACATCTAATGTGGAATCACCAGCTTTCGGATGTGAGGGATTGCAGGCAGTCAGGATATACTGAGGAATTCTAATTCCCCTGTTAAAAAATCTAAATCCAATGAAAAGTTCTGTATCTTCAGATGAACTCTTACGTATAAAATGGAAACAAAATTTCTTGTGCTACCTCTAGTTCCCTAATGCTTTATTACTACTAAGTTATGTTGATGCTGAATCATCAGAAATTTTTTTAGGGCAATTCATATTAATGCTGAAATATTTAGCCCTTGTTTTGATTTCAAAACATGCTAACACATTGTCTTGTAACAGCTGTAGTCACAGAGTGCTCAGTCTTCCTCATATGCTTAAGAAACATTTCTTGTCTTATTGTCCCTCTTTTACAATGCAACGTCTAGTTTTTTCCGTTGCCGACTCACACTATTATTATGGGTAGTGTGAATTTTTTATTATTCTAAATAAAAAATGCTTTTAGAGTCAGTTAGCATTGTACTTCAAAATTAAATACTCTTATTGGTTTTTATTGTCAGTCATGATGGATTTTAATCTTAATTGTTCATGTTAAAGTGGTCTGGTGCCTTATGGTAGTTTCCCATTTCCTCCCTCTGTTTCTTGACCTGAACAGGTCGCAGGGTAATTTTCAGTTAAAAGCAATGAAGCATGTCTATGTCTTCAGCCTTGGCTGTCCTTTGATTTAATCAACAGCATCTCGAGTAAAGCTGTGCTGCACTGTTTTGGAGCTGAAAGCTTCTAGTAATGTTGCAGCATCTTTAAAACAAAAAATAATTCACACCAACTTAAAACCTCAGTATTTTAGGAATCTAAAGCTTAACTTGGGTTGATTTGATGTCCCCTAATAATTAGGTTTTGGGAAGTAAACTGATTTAAAAAAAAAGAAAAAGTTATATATCTGAATACGTGTGGGAGGGCATGCTTGGTGAGGTGGGGCTGCAGAAGTCCTGCAGTATTCGTAGCTGGATGCCTCTACCTTGCTGCTCATGTTCCTTGAAACCAGGTGCCTCGAGCCTTTTTAGGCAACGGGTGTTTTAGAGCTACAGTTGGGTACGTTCTGTCTTTGCTTCTCGGCAGCAACTGGTGTTTTTCTTCCCTTCCATCAGAACAATGCTTCAAAATTATTGCTGGCGATCATGGAGAGCAGGCACGACAGCGAGAACGCGGAGAGGATCCTGTATAACATGAGGCCGAAAGAGCTGGTGAGTCCCCTGGCCTGTTCCTCGAGCTCTGGCTACCCAGCGCTGCCGCGGCAAGGCAGCAGGCGGTCCTCACAGCCAGGGACAGAGGTGACTGTCGGCCCTAGACCTGGGCAGGAGTGCTGCACTCGAGGTCTCTGTATGTAAATCGCTGGTAACTGGAGGAGCTTTCGAGGATTCAGCTGAATGAATGCAGTGTCTGTGCGCTGTCTGGTGAACGTATTAACTTCTGAAAACAAAAACAAGATTCAAAGTACAGCTGAAACCGTGTCAGCTTGTCTCGTTGTGCATAGTTACACGGGGGCCAGAGATCAGGACATAACACAGCATACCACAAGTACAGCCCAGCATATGTTACTTAAAGGGAAGCGTAAAGTTTACTTTTTTGTGTTTATGAGCTGGGCTGAAGTTAACTGTGTTCAGGTCTCCTGTTTTATTCTGGATACTTAGAAGTCCATTGACCTCAGCTCCCTTTGACTTCTGTAGGAGTACCAAATGCATACTGTCCTTTGCAGGCTTTGGCCCTCAAACTGGAGCTGTCACTTCATTTGCCTGTGTCTGTATTTCTAGGTGGAAGTGATAAAGAAGGCCTATCTGCAAGGTGAAGTGGAATTTGAGGATGGAGAGAATGGGGAAGATCTTGCAGCATCTCCAAGGAACGTGGGACACAATATTTATATACTAGCTCACCAGGTAGATGATCATCACTTGCAGCTTTTGTAGCACCAAATTTCACAAATTGTGACTAGCAAGAGATCTGCTTTTTACTGACAGTTGTTTTAGTTGCTCACCTCTGAGACAAACTCAGTACACGTTCTCTTTTTATAAGAGTAAATTCCAATCTTTACAAGATTTTCTTGTTTGTTTCTTTAATGTAAATAAGAAACTTTTTGGACTCTTCTTTTATAATGGGAAGCAGGCAGTCTCTTGACCGAGTTTCTGAAGACGCATAATTCAGGTTTGTGGCAGTGCTAGGAAGCTGTTCAGCTGTATCCAAGGTCACTTTATACTCCCAAAGAAATTCTTGACCTGGACCATTTAAACCATAAGCAGAAATCTCTGCTTTTATTGTTCATGCTGCATTCTCTCTCGTATCTCTATGTTGGAACTAGTCAGGTTTGTTCTATAGGTACAAATTGGTGTTAGAAAGGTAAAAGACCAATTCTTATTTATTTATTTTTTTAAAAACCTAAGTCTACTAATATATTGGTGCTACATATATCAATCTATTAGAGACTCCTTGCACCTTTTGCATCTGAGAAGAAAAAAACATCGTTATGCTGCAAAATGAATTTGAAGCATGCAGAAGCTTCTTTTTGGAGCAGTGCTCTGTACATCTGCTCCTCAACTGAGGCAAAGTTTCTTGTGCATCCTTGCTAGATATTTGAGTGAGCGGTGCATCTTTGAGTTAGGGCAGGTGTAGAATATAAATCTTCAAAAACTTTCCCAAGTCAGGCAAAGGGTGGAGAGAGATTGAGTAAAAGAGGAATAACAACATGGATATTAAAAAAAAAAAAAAAAAAAATGCATTTTTGAATCATTCTGACTTGCTCCCAAAATAGAGCTACAGGGTGTCTGGTTGGAATAGAACAAGCCTTCTGTCAACTTTGCCCTTTCTTAGCAGCTGACTGTGTACTATTTCTTTTTTTTATGCCAAAAATCAGATATTTAATATCGTAGAGAGACATCTGGTGTCTCCCACTCCCTTTGCATTCCTTTATTTTAGTTGGCTCGTCATAACAAAGAGCTGCAGAACATGCTGAAGCCTGGAGGTCAGATAGAGGGAGACGAGGCTCTGGAGTTCTACGCCAAGCACACAGCGCAGATTGAGGTAAAGAAAAACTGTGACTGCTGGGAGATGTGTGGGGGCAAAACATCATCTGCGGGAAGAGCAGCTTGGAAGAAAAGCTATGTAATTAAACTGCAGTTACATTATATGTGATATTTTGATTGAACTGCCTACCTGTGTGTGGACTGTCATCTTTGACATAAGAACGTGCATATATTTTTATTTTGTTGGCGGCCTCAGGGTGGGGGGAGCTATTTTTGAGCTGTCTTGTGTAGGCTTTAAGATGGAGCTAAGCAGAACTCTGTTGGCAGGAAGAAGCATAGCTTCACTTACATGTTACTTTTTGGCCAGTACTGTTTCTGAATCCATGAAGTTAGCAATATCTTTTGCCATTCTTTATTTAAATGAGAGTTTGGCCTGTCACACAGTTAATCTAAGATGCTTTTTAAAAGTAAAACACACACACAAACATGGAAACTTTCTAATAAGCAAGATGAATAAAACTCCTCTGGTTTTTGCCTACGCAATAAATGCAGGTAAAACTCTCTAAGATTCTCAAACTGGGTGACTGCATTTCTCTGAAATTCAGAGCAGGTTTGGTGCAGGATTTGATTGGGCCCTTTGGAAATCACAGCTAAGAGTAGTATTACCAGAATAAGACCACAGCATAGAAACTATCACTCTTGGAACTAAACGTAGGCTTACAACGGAAGGTAAATTAACTGAAGTGTCTGTCAAGCTGCCGTTCTACGGGAATATGTCTGAGTTTCTACCTGTAGCTGGTTTTAAAGGAGGGGGGAAAAAAAAGCCAAATAAATAAAAACATCTAAAACCCAATAAGAACTCTAATAAGACTATTGTTCAGATTGTCAGGTCGGACCGTACAATGGAGCAAATTGTCTTCCCTGTACCCAGTATATGTGAATTTCTCACCAAGGAGTCCAAGCTGCGGATATACTATACCACAGAGAGGGATGAACAAGGCAGCAAGATCAATGATTTCTTCATGAAATCAGAAGACCTCTTTAATGAGATGAACTGGCAAAAGAAATTGCGAGGTAGGTTGCTGTTGCCAGTGTTGTTGTGTGAAGTGTTACCAGCAGGGTCTTTAGGTCAGGTTTTTGAAGTTTGAAATATTGACTTGATAGCAGATGGTTCCCCAGTGTGGCAGCAACCCTGATGACTGTTTGAAAGAGTCTGCTCCTCTGCACGATGGCGTTATGTTGCGAGGAAACCAAGCTTAATGTTAGAACAATATGGACTAACTGGGGAAAATCCAGGGGAGAAAAGAAAGAAAGATCACAGGTCACCTTTTTTAAGATCCAAGAGGAAGGAACAAATTTGTGGTGGCTTAGCTTCGAGGAGAAGGCATTTGGTGGCAGGGAGAAACGGAGAGGACAAAACTGAAGAAAATAGTCAGTTCTCCTTTCCTGTGCTGGATATAAGAAGCAATTGCCTTGAGTTGCAAGAAAGAACAAGGCAAGGTAATGCAGCACATCTCCAAGCGAGTTATGAAGACACCCATAATTATATACAGACTGCAAGTTGGTCAAAATTGTCAGGCAGAAGTCGAGAATATTTTTATTTAAAAGACCTGGAATTTTTCATTAAAATTATAGGAAAGGGTTTCCTGTTGTGGGAAAAGGTTTGGTCTAACTCCTAATATTCTGGTCTTGTTAGGGCTTTGAATGATATATTCTATATTTATGCAATTGTTTCTCACATCTTAAATACAGGTTTGTTGTTTTGAGCCATGACGGGTTTACGTTGCTCTGTGCTCATTGTGGTACAACTTACTCTTTATTCAAACCTGAGAAAAACATCAGCTCAAAGTGTTAAACTTAGTGATAAACTTCTTATTTTAAACAAATCTGTAAGGAACCATATATTTTCCCCCCCCTGAAGCTCATGGAGCTAGCTTATAATATTAACACCACAGGTCTCCCGAAGTCTCAGTTAACTATTCAAATGAGCCTTCCAAAACCAGGCAAAAATGCTGCACATGGCAGATAGCCTATGCCCACCCCAAATGAAGGTTTAAAGTAAAATCTGGAATTTTACGTAAGAACTTCATACACATGGATTCAGCCTGCTTACAAATTCTTTCGATTCTTTCACCAAATTTAGAAGAGAAAAAAATATGGGAAACAACGCACCTTACATTCCAAACTTTGCTACATCTCATTTTAGTGAGGCTTAACAGGTGCCTAACTAATTATGTGCAATCAAGCTTAATTTTTACAGTGACTGGGCACCTTTTTGTATTCCTTTCCTTTGCATTAAACTGTTCAATGCATTTGCCTTTTTGTGTGCATTTCGCATCAATATAGTGAGGCATTCTGTAACTCTTTTAACTCATTTTTTTGCTTAGGGTGCTAGAAGAGATGATTTACTGAAGAGAGGTGGTGGCTAATGTGAGATTCAGAATTGTGGCATTTATTAATTTACTCTTCTCTTCAGGCCCGGAGTTTGCATTTTAATCTTTTCCCTAAACTTTGCAGTGAGCTGCTTCGCCTTTGCTCTCTGACATCTGTACACGTGTAGCCTCCTTCCAAGCAGAAAAAAAGCATTAGTTCTGTTTCCCTTCAGTGAGAGCGCTTTAAATAGATGTTTAACCACTATAGATTTCTGCAGTACACAATCTACTGTACAATAAGCCTGCAGCAGTTGCGTTCTGGAGGATTTTAATTTGCAGATGCAATTACTCTAAGGCAGCTGCTTAGCTGTCCTTCTCATCTCCTGGTCCATGACCACTTCAGAAATCAAATCTTGCTTTGCATAACTCTTGATTGTAGCTGCAGAGATTATTAAAATTAGGACTCACTTTTAAAAGTATTTGTATGTAGCTTTAAGAATGTAAAATATGCTGCTGTTTAACTTTAGCTCTGCAGATGTTTGCATCCTTTGCCCCCAGTACAGAGAGCAGGTCACCTGAGCTTGAACTAGGTTATTATCTTGGGATACAGCTTGAAGTTAACTTGTCTCATGTGTTTGGCAGCCAGTCTTAAACGTTTTAGCTTTATTGTTACATCGCTGTGCTGCATTTGGTGCCCCAGTAGTCCACCTAGCACTGTCTTGGCTGCGTTTTTTCTGGCTGGCTGCAGTGGAAAGGCAGGTTGAGGATGGGTAAGCACCTAGTGTAGGTGAGCTGCTGGTAGCAGCAATAGCGGCGTGACCAGGAGGGACGGTGCAGAATCTCACCTGTGCAAATGTGTACGCGTTATCCCTCCTAATCGTTCTTTGTGTAGCTCTGATTATGTGAGCATGGAGTGTATTATGAGGGGAAGCATGAAGTCCGTGACCTCTAGGATTTCTGAGCTCATTCTCATGCTGCTGCTAAATCAATTCATGTTTGAAAAGGCTTTCCCTTTTAACATTAGTCCTTTGCCGTAAAGTCCTATCCAGGAAACTGGAAATACCCTAGAGATAAAGAGTAATCAAACTTCAGCATAAGCAATGGTTGTTGCTGCTGTTGATATTGTGCTTCTCGGCAAACTAAAAATAAACTGAGTTTTGGAGGAGATCATTTTTTTGTATAGGCTTCTTGTTTTTTTTGAAATGCACCTTTAAAAAGTGTTGTGTTTTTTTTTTTTTTTTTCTTTTGCAGCTCAACCTTTCCTGTACTGGTGTGCTCGCAACATGTCCTTCTGGAGCAGTATTTCCTTTAACTTGGCTGTCCTTATGAACCTACTTGTAGCATTTTTCTATCCATTCAAAGGAATTCGAGGAGGTACCAATATTTAACATGCAAAAATATGTGAACAAATAAGGTTTAATGGGCCAAATTCTGTTCCCCTACTCGTCTGTGCAGCCATATTAATTTCAGTGGGGATAGTGGAAGAGAAATTGGCTTTTCTCGATGCTGTCTTGAGGTTTCACCTTTGCTGTTTTCTGACTTAACTGAATTTAAAAAATGGCCTAGTATTGGCGGAGAGATCATGGTGGGGAGGTACGTTGAAACGTTATTTTTTGAAGTCGTTTCTGTCTTGAGGCATTCATAAGGAAAATGTGGAGTCACGCTTCTTCCTAGGGGGAAAAAAATATCAAAGACAGACATCACCTTTAATTACATGACTGTTCTACTTTGTTTTAAAGTTCTATAATTAAGTATTGAACTAAAAGTATAAGAAATGTTAATTTGTTGTTTTTCTTGCGCTTGCATTTTATTAATGTCATTTTCCGTAAAGCTTCCGTGGTTACACAGGAGCACTTCAGGAGGGCTTTGTGTGTTGCGGAGCTGGGTAGGTGTGATTACCCCGTGTTAGCAGGTGATACCTGCAGGAGGGAGGCGACTTGCTTCACGCCAGGCAGTGGAAGACCCAAAATAAGAACCCAGTCTCTGCTCTGGTACTTCTCTTCCCAGGACATTACCTCTCCGAGCGCTTAGATCAGAGCTTGGCTTAAGGAACTAGGGGAAGCTTGCCAGCCTTGTCTCCCGATTCTGGAGCAACCTGCCATTCTGAATTTCCTTGCCATAAGTGGGTAGCAGCTGAGCTATCGTTTCTAGCATAAACTATGTGATAACGTGCACTTCATGAGGGATTGCACAATCTTGCTGCAATAGGTCTCATGGAAGTTATTTTTGATCCAAACAGTGGGTTTGTGAGAGAGAGAGAGATGGTTCTTAGAGCCAATTCAGTAAATACTTCCAATGAGGATCTGATTAGATCCAGCTGGTCTTGCTTAGATTCAGCATCTCTGAAGGATGCACCCTAAGGCAAGCTGATTGGTGGGTTCACATTAGCAAAAATCAGGAAATATGGACAAATATTTATGTGAGTGTCTGTACAATGTGTTTATCACTTGTAAAACTGGCATAGAGGAAATGTCTAGGTAGGAGCTTTTGCCACGTTTGTGTCAACTGGGGTAAGTAAGAACCCCAGAAGTAAAACCTCATCCTGGAGAGTGTGATTCATGCTCAAGCCCTTACTTTTTCTTTTAACATTTGTGATACAGCAGGGCCAGACAGATTTTTATCTTCTATTGAACTTCTCTCTGCATCTCTTTCCTTTTGTTCATTGCATACTACAGAGCCTAAAGAAAACACAGCTCAGAGATAGCAAGTAGCCTGAAAATAAGCAAATTCTCAGCTGAGCTCTGTATGTGTGACATAAATGCTACTTCACCATTTCTGTGGTTCACCGGTTAAGTTAAATTGGCGAGAGCCTTAGTTTTGTCGAGTAGTGTTGGATGGCATGTTACGTTAGCGGTGGGACAAAGGTGATCAGCGTGGAGAACTTGCATTTAGGGATTTTACATCATGAGCGATGCTCAAATACGGCATGTGAGAAAGTACAGGATGTGTGGGGCCAAAATCTGATGTTACTGAGCGAGGTAGTTTGGTTGGTTCAGCTAACTCATGAAACATCGGACTCTTGTTTCAGCAGCTATCCCTCTCCTGTGGCACCAAGCGATCCTAGCATACTGCGGGATTACCGGCATCCCTTTCTGACCAGCTGGTGGTTTAAAGGTTTTATCAAGCGCAAAGAGCAACCAAATTTTCCATCTGTAGTCTCAAAGGTCACAAGTTAAAATTTAAAAGTCTGAATTTATGGCCGCTAGTAAAGCTGCTAATTAAACAAGCTCTTTGAGATTGCAGGTTGCAAGTCTGGGGGGAATCATTTGGCATTTTGAAGATGCCCTACCCTGCATATTTGAAATACTTTATTTATCAGGTAAAGTTTTGATAAAATCTCCTCTTCAACCAGTTATCGTCAAGAATGTTTTTTTTTTTAAAGAAAAAAAAAAAAAAAAGGTACAAAAATAGCTTTAAAGAAAGCAGGCTTTCCAAAACAGATCATTTGGGGGAAATTCTCAGTGTCTCGAATCACTCAAACACGTTGAACTCGGAGCAGTAGATTAGCATATGACTGTGTAGCAGAAGCTGTAAAACTTACGACTTCAGTAGCAGAAACAAGCTTGGATGCCTAGAATTAGGTACTTAAATTGTAAGAATTCCAGAGACATGGAGAACTTTCTATCAAGTCTTCCGAATTACGCCTGCCTTCTGCCAACAAGCTTGTAATGGACTCCACATGCTCGCGGCAAGCGCTGCGGAGCTAGATTGGGTGCGGACAAGCGGTGAGTGCTGGCTTGCTGTTCTGTAGCTTCCAAGGGCACGAAAGCACTAGACCCTGCAAGGAGGCGCTGAGCCTCTCGCCACGCTCCCGCACCCAGCGCAGCTCCAGCCCTCCCGAGCGCTCTTCTGCCCGTTCGCCCTTGCTTCCCCGCTCCCTGCAGCTGGGCTTTCGCGGCCAGGTGACCGCTTTCCATGCTGCACCTCTAGGCTTCCGCCAGCTGCGAAGGTGGTTGCTGTGGTGTTCTGGGATCCTGAACTCCCTTCACACGGCGGAAACATCTGTTCGACTTTATGCTTATCAAGCTTTAATCTTCATCTATCCTCTGCTGTCTTTATTAATCTGCAGTGATTTGGAACAAAATTAAATGGCTGCTTATTGTAGTGGCATGAGAGTAACGTTGCCCAACCCTTCTGAGTTTGGGAGGAGAAAAGTATTCCCTGAATATGTTGCTCATAAGACGCAACAGCCCTCTAAGCACCTGCAGAAGGGCTGCTGAGTGAAATTTGGGGGAATCTCACCTTTTTGTCTGAGGTACCAGTTATTTGAAGAAAAACACTTTTTCATGCAAGTTTCAAGAAAAGATGCCTTTTTATATGCTGCACAGACCCAGAGTAAACGGTATTTTAGGCTGAGTATTTTTATGGTTCTTTCACAGAAGTATGTTTTTAGCAACACTGGCTGATATTATGTAAGCAGATAGTCTCATGGGACAGTCTAAATAGAACCAAAAATAGCAAGAGATGATAAAAATTGGTACAAGGTTTGTGACCAAAAGCATAATAGAAGAACAGGCTATGAATCAGGACCTGATGAGTGTGTTGTCTGTCTTTACCTTCCCATTCAATGCATCTACAGAACATATTAGCAAAACACTTCTCCTTTTAAGCATTGAAGGTGTGCAAGGAACGAACAGTAAAGTGAAGAATCCTATAGAACTGATGCTTATCATTTGCATAATGCTTTAGTAACAAGTTTGTAATTAAAATCTACTGAAGGCATTAAGTTCAGACACTCCACTTACCACTTTGAAATCAGTAATGTCTGAACAGGGAGATTAATGATGTTGCACAACAGTGAGATAAAATGGCATTTATCTGACTCTTCTGGTTTTAGTTTATTTGGTAACACAACGTATTGAAGGTTTGCTTTTTGTTTTTTCTCTCTCTCCCAGGTACCCTAGAGCCCCACTTGTCAGGCTTGCTGTGGACAGCTATGCTGATTTCTTTTGCTAAGTACCTCTTCCGAAGCCCCATGGTATCCGAGCCTTAATAGCTTCTACGATATTACGACTAATATTTTCAGTTGGTTTACAACCTACTTTATTTCTTCTGGGTGCATTCAATGTAAGTATTGAGTGGGCTTTGAAGCTCTGTTGCATCTTATGTAAGGGTTCCTTATCTGCTCACGAAGATGTTGGACAAAAATAGTCTGGAACATTGTGGCAGTGGCAGCACCGGTTGGTGAAGAAGTAATTCCCACTTTGGATTGGTTCTTAATAGAAGTGCTTTGCTGTTTTTCATTTAATCCTGATTCCCTAAGTTGGAGAGCTCTAAGGTTTTGTCACAGTCTAGTAACAGCTCCCACCCCAGCTAAAAACGTTAAGATGTCTCTGCGACCCTAAAGTACTCGGAGTTGTTCTCTCAAACCCTTCTCTTGTTCAGCGACTAAACTACAGTATTTATGAGGTTGTGTAAGATTTACTAAACAATACATTTCCCAAATGTCTGTCTGTAGTCTGCCTGCCAGCCAAAAATGTGACACTTAGCAGTTTTACTTTAGTAATGTGTGGACCGAGCATGTAAGCTGAGCCACCAGAGAACTTCATTAACACTCAAACCTGGATACTTGCGGTCTCTCGGCGAGTAAGCCGAAAAATGTTTCTCTTTGACAGAGTCAGCAGGAGCTGTGCAAAGATGCGTCTTCTGGAAGTCTTTGCCTTTATTGCAGTGCCCAGCTTTTAAGTGCATGATTTAATAGTACCCCTTGTCATCAAAATGTGTTACCAAATGCCACGTGCAACAGAGTCAGAGTTGCACTGGTAGCAGCGGTGGTGGTGTTATCGATAACTATAGCATTTAACAGGCCCAGGTAAGCGTAAGGGAGTTTGAGAGGTGCTGTACGAGAGGATTACTAAGTACCTACTCTGAGGCCGAATTGCTGAGGGAATCTGGAGTACTCACTCATTAACAAGCAGTAGAGACTGCTTCAGAAACATAAGTGCTGCTGTAGCCTAGAAAGTTATTTGATCGCAGGAAGAGCAGTGCTTAGAGTAGTTTAGCTTCTTCCCTCCCCCCCCCCCCCCCACATATTTTGCTAGAGATCTGGAGTTTAATTTTGGCTCACTGTTGGAGCTGTGCAGAAAATGCAACAGAAAGCAGCTTGTGACTCTCTGTAAAATGCTATCATATAACAGACACTGTAGCATAGCTGCTGATACCATCAAGCTGAGTTATCATCGGCTTTGAAAAATTGCCTTTATTTTTGTAAGCCACATATTGTAACTAACTTATGGTTAATCTTTCCTTAGGTTTGTAATAAAATCATTTTTCTGATGAGTTTTGTGGGTAACTGTGGAACCTTCACTAGAGGATACAAGGCAATGATCATGGATGTGGAGTTTCTGTATCACCTACTGTACCTTCTCATTTGTGCTCTGGGACTCTTCGTACATGAATTTTTTTATAGTTTGTTGGTAGGTATTCGTTTTGTTCCTAGGATGTTTTTCTATACGTCTGTAAAATCCCATCTCGGGCATATCTAGATGTGTTTTACGCCGCTTCCTTTCCATTTTAGTAATAGGAGACCGTTATACAGGCACTCTTTTGAAAACTAAATCTGGCCATTTTGCTTAGGGGAAGTTGCTGTGGGAGACTGCAGGATTCCTGCCATATCTCATCTTCCTCTTTTTTTGTGGACAAATGAGAGACTTCTGTTCTTAAGTATATGATACAAGAAATGTTTTTGGTTAAATTTATTTAGAATTACTCACTACAGGAAATGTGCAGTTGTAAAGAAGGTGCTTAGCGTTTCCTTTTTGAAGGTTAATTCTCAGCCAGCTGAGGTAAGAATTTTCTAAGTTAGATGCATCAGGCTTGTGAGCCTGCTCTGACTTCCAAGATAATAAAATAATTTAAATTGCTTTGACTCCAAGTAATATCAACAGCTGGTGAAGGTTTAAGTCTTCTCAGGGTCACATGAGTTGTTACCTACATGAGGGGGGAAAAAAAAATAATTGAAAAATCTGGCCATATAAATGCTAGCTAAACAGTAGGCACTTGTGGAGTTACCATGCTATGAGTAAAAGGCAAACAGTTCTCGAAGATAGCTTGTGCTTTGTTATTGTCAGTAACTGTAACAGTCTGTCCCTGTTTTCTGAGCCCTTGGTTTACTTTGGAGGCTCTGCTTAACTGTAGCTAGACTCTAGACCTCAAACAATTGACACAGATGCCTGGCATATGGGTTTTTTTTTCTGTGTTGGGTAGAATATGTCTTGCACAACACATACCTCTAAGAATAAGCAGTAAAAGAGTACATCTAGAGATGGTGAAGAAAATGTGTCACTTTTAAAGTAAACCTTCAGTCCCTTTAAGAATTGTGTATTTTTCTCTATTTGTTTGATACTTGCTAGGTCCTCTGGTAACTGAATTAGTTATTTTCTGCACTCACATAGGTCCAGTTTAGCTAATTTCTGTCCTTTCATTGTCAATAAATAGCATAGCCAGCTACGTGCCTGGGCCACGCTGGTGAAATGTCACAGGCCCAGCAGAGTGGAAAATGAAGGAAACTATTTGTAAAGGTATTTAAACAAAGAGCGTTTGCTTACCAACGCTAATTTGATAAGAAATATTGCTCACTTTAGTTATGTACTCAGGCAGCTAAGACTGAATTTTGAATTGTGCTATTTTGAGTTTTTATAAGCTGAGGCAGCTAATGCTAAAGAAAAAAGTGCTATGGTACCTGTTAGCAGTTTTATGTCAAAGCATGCACAGTGCATTTAGCATTTAAGCAAGTAATGATCAGACACTTTACTAGGTTAAGCAGCATAGCTCCTCAAGTCACGTGTGCGGTGTTTAGTTGGTGGATGTGCCAAAAAGCATCCGTGGTTTCACCGGGTGCTGCAAAGTGCAGGTGAAGAGGTGAGGGCAGAGCTGCCTCTGGGCTTCGTGTCTCAAAGCGCACGACACAAGAAAGGTGCAGTGGGGGCGAGTGGCCCCCGAGCCTCCTGCTCAGTCTTTCTTTGCCAAATTTTAACTGTCAGCTCTTTACAAAATAATAATAAAAAAAAATTGTATTGTTAACAGGCTACCCCATGTTATGACAACACATAACGTGCCACCGGTTTTATTGGTAATAAATTTGTGTAACGGCCTTTGCTTTTGCCTTTTTCCCCAGCTCTTTGACTTGGTGTACAGAGAAGAGACTTTGCTGAATGTCATTAAGAGTGTCACTCGCAATGGGCGCTCCATCATCCTGACCGCTGTGCTCGCCCTCATCTTGGTCTACCTGTTCTCAATAGTGGGATACCTGTTCTTCAAAGATGACTTTATCCTGGAAGTAGATAAGCTCCCTAATGAAACACTGTTGCCAGGTTGGTACTTATTCTTACTGTTCCAGTGCTAAAGAAGGTAATGGTCTGGTTTCCTGTGGTATGCTGAATGTCTTCCACTTTTTGCAAGACGTGCTGGTTACCTCATAAATTTTCTTACAAAGGACACTGTTAAATAAAAACCAAAACAAAAAACAGTTTGGCACAGACAGCTACCCCAGGGTTTCTACAAAACACTGTGATATACTACAGTGTGAAGAAGGAAGGGGTGGAGGAACCCCTGGAAATAGCACTTGGCTGTTCTGCACACATTTGAGATTTCTCTTCTCACTGTTTGCTAAAACAGCAGAGATTATCTAATTCAGCTGCACCTACTCCTTCCCTCAGTTTAATTACAAGCAGACTTTAGGTAGGCCATTGTGGGGAAGGCTCTGCGCTGGGAGAAGTCAGTTCTGCCTTGGTTTGCCAGAGCTGGAATGCTTATGTTGGCTTTTAATGGTGGCTTTTCCTTTCAGCATAACGAGAATTAATATCTTATCTGAAGTAACTGAATGAATATGAGGAGAAATGACCCTCAAAAAGATGCTCCTGGCAACTAGAGCTTTCTATTCCTAAATTTATTTGCTCGTAGTTTGTATAGATTGCATCAACTTCCCTCACTATAGTTTAAAATGCATACTAGACTTTCCTGCGCAGAACTTAGGTCGCTTACTGTAAGTTAGAAGTTGGGGGGTTCTTTCCACGCTGTAGCATCAAGCAAGCAGCTCACTGGGTGGGAAGTATAGGACGGAAACTTGTTACAGGAGGGATTTGGGTTTTGTCTAGTTCTGACTTTGTTTTTGTTGTGTTTTTTTTTTTTAATCTGACGCTTGAGCTATTCAGATAAGTGTTACCTAACATTCTCACCATTTTTATTTTAATTTTACCCTCAACCCTGTGAGAGGCCCAAACCTGACTGACCCTCTTATTTCACATTTCCCATACAGTTGGAGAAATGCCAAAGACATGTGACTAGGTGGCACTTCACTTATTTTGGTACTTGCAAGGCACTGTAAGAGCAAGTTTTTAAGTCATCTTGAAAATACATTCACTAGAACATATTTTTGGAAGAATTTCAGTTACTTTCTCAACTTTGGAGCTGGTACAAAATAAATGCACAACTTCTGTCTTAAAATTTTTATTATTTCTATGAATTAATGTTTGAATGTTAGATCATTGAACGTGTGAACCAAAGTATGGTGGTCCTCTAAACTCCAGGAGAACATACAATTCTGCATCTGACTAGTAATTGCTCACTGACTGTGGTGAGGTACCTTAATGTCTGAGAACTAACCTCAAAAAGCCTGGAAAATGTTAAACCATCTGATTCATCAACTTGTGTTTTAGATCGCACAGAATCAGGTGAGACCATGACTGGGGAGTTTCTCTATTCAGATGTGTGTAAAGCAGGTAGTGGTGAAAACTGTTCTTCAATCATTCCTTCTGAGCGTAAGTATCTCCTATCGTATTCCTAAGTCATAGCTTGAGTTTTCACACTTTTTCTAAAGAAGCATATTAAATTAAAAACAGATTAAGTCATGTGTTAACAAATTGGGGAGCAAAGCTATCATGCAGCTATTCATCTTGAAAGAGGATTAATTCAAGTCAATAGCACAAATGACACACATGGTACATGAAATGTTCAAGCTAGAGAAACTAGAACTAAACCATACTTTGATAAAACCCTGTCATATTCTTAAATTATCTACTTGATCAATTTGAGAAGGAAGTGATGTAGTTTACCTCTTTAGGAAGTTTATTATTTTAGAACATTAGACTATTAAATGTGATCTCAGATCACCAAATCTGGTGATTTGACCTGAACCAAATGTGATCTCTGTGAAGGATGAAGCAGAGCATTGTTTTTTAGTCAGTGTTATTCTGTCTAGTTAACTAAGGAAACCATTTTTAATATGTCAGCAAGTGCTCCGTGGATTAAGTAGACAGGGTAGGTTTGGGATTTTTTTAGATCAAGAAAATACATACGAGATGTTACTTGTATTATCATCAGCCTCAGATTAGGTATTGGAATATTTCGGTTTTATTTCCTAGAAAATGTAATTTACTTCTGTGAGGTTTATGTTGCCGGCTGTGAGAGCCAGCCGGAACATCTCCATTTCTCTTAGAAACGGAGCTCTTACGTGGTCAAATGTTTCAAAGGTCAATAATGGCCACAAGCCCGTGCTCTCGAGAAGAGATGTGTCTGTTTTGCTCAAAGTGTTGACTCTTAGTTTACAAAGAGGACATGATACAGGAATAGTTTCTCTCTTCAGCTTTAGGAAGAATGCGCTTTGTTGTCTATATGCGCTTTGGTTGCAGGAGGGATAAGTCCAGAGACACGTTTATGTCATAAATAATCAAAAAGACCTTGATGTTAGTGATGCCCAAATCTTCTGGTGCATGGATACTTCTGGATTGCGCAGGGATTTGGGCCCATCGAAGGCTCCCCATGGGAAGGGGGATCCACTTGTGAGCGTATTTATTATGGAGTGAAAGCCATGAGACTTTTAATTGGGGCAGGGTGGAGTATATGAGATTAGGTGATTCTAGCAGTTCTAGAACTGAAAGAGTGAAGTCAGAGGCTTCCGCCAAAAGGATGGAGGGTCAAAAATAGTGCGTTACTTAAAGTGCTGTTTCCAGAAGCAGTGATATTTTAGCCATTGGAAAAAGAAGAGTGAAAGTTGCCATTCTGAGTGCAGCCCCAAGGCTGTGCAATCTGTTAGGCACCAAGGGAGAGTGTAAGAGGCAACACTTTGTCCTCCGAGCTGTCAAAAAGCTCTGATTCTGTATAAACAGGCATCTGGTGAGCTCGAGCTATGCACGCTCGCAGGCATGGAAAGAGAATTTTAACCCAGTCAGAGACAGCAGCTAAAACAGACGAGAAAATCCCAGTGGGGAGCGGAGGGCAGGCCGGAGCCAAGGAGGCGGCCCGCTCCAGCGCTCCGCTCTGTGCCGATTCCGAGCGAGTTTGTAACACCGGCCGGCAATCGGGCAGTTTTTGCAAAAGAGGGGGAGCGCGCGTGTCCCCAGCAAAGAATGAGGAGAATTGTTTAAAACTGATCTTTGTCTTCTAAGCATGTCTCTGCTTGCTGTGTTAATAGAAGTGATTGCTGAAGAAATGGAGGAGGAGAATAAGGAGCATACGTGCGAGACGCTGCTGATGTGCATTGTCACGGTCCTGAGTCACGGGCTCCGCAGCGGGGGCGGAGTAGGTGATGTGCTCAGGAAGCCGTCCAAGGAGGTAAACTACCGCTGAATGGAGGCGGCAGAGCGATAACTGTAGGGCTGGAGATCACGTTCTGCTGGGGAAACTGTGTCTGCAATCTATTTAAACAGATGTAGGATACGTTAGGAACGAAAAGGGACTACAGTTTCCCTCTGTGTGATCAAGTTAAGTCTCTGTGGTGTCACGTTGAGCAGCAGCGTGTCCAAACAAGTTTCCACAGATCCTTTTTCTCCTAGTAAATGAGGCTCTTTTTTTTATTTTATTTTATTTTTTTAAAGCTTAAGGACTGTCCAGAGCAGGGCCCAAATGAGCAGGAGTGGTGTAGCCAACAGTCTGTGCTTTTGCAAATGGAGTGGAGGAGAGCCTCCTCTGGGAAGGAAGGGCTTTGTGCGCCTGGAGCCATCATCACAGCACAGCCAAAGCAGCAGGGCCTTCTCCCAGTGCCCCAGGCGGCTGCTGCGGCTGCTTCTGTAGCTGATTGTGTCCGAGTCGCAGGCTGTCTTTGCCTCGTCGTTCCCAAAACTGAAGGGGCAGGCCTAGTTGGAGGGGGTGCTTTGCACCCTGCGGCTGTGGAGAAGGTCCTAGGTCCTCCTCAGTCCCTGTTTCACTGTCCCTTTTCCAGTAGCTTTGAGTCTGCTTGGTTTGCACTAGGTAATGGAAGGTAGAGCAGTGTATATGGTCTGCAATTTCAAACTGTTTATGTTTAGCCTGATTTCTGCTTAAAATGGTTTAAAAGTTACATAATTCCTGATAAAACTTAGGCCCCCAACTGGTTTAGATGTTTCTGAAAATGAGACTTAAGTGCCCAGGCCTCCAGTAAACATGAAATGTGCCCTGCTAAGTGCAACTTAGTTTCCTGTTTCAATTAAGAGGATATGCATGATTGTTAACATAAATGAATGAAACTACTATGAAATTCCAGTAAAAGACTTTATAGTCACAACTGGTACTATCTGGACATAGAAGCAGATTATTAAAGGGGTATAATTAGGAGCAGCTTGCAGGGAGGGAGGTATGGGAAGAGCCAATTTCAGTGCGTATGTGAGAAGAGGAGAGACTTGTAGATGGTAAGCAGAAAGAACAGCTTCATAAAGGCTGTATACTGTTATCTGACTAATTTGACTTTTCTTTCAGTAATCTTGCATTTTAGTTTCATTTAATGTTTTGAGTCCTAAGTTATCACTGGAAAGCATCAGAAACAGCAACTCTAGAGGGGGTGGGGATAGCGTGCACTGTTACTGAACTGTGAGAAAGGAAGCCTAAGGGTCAGGCGTGCATGTATTTGGGTTGTTAATCATTAAATTCTGTATCTTGCAGGAACCTCTCTTTGCTGCTAGAGTGATATATGATCTGTTATTCTTCTTCATGGTCATCATTATTGTCCTTAACCTGATTTTTGGTGTGATCATTGACACTTTTGCTGATTTAAGGAGTGAAAAACAGAAGAAAGAAGAAATTTTAAAAACTACTTGCTTTATTTGTGGTAAGTGAAGAAACACATACTTAAGAACCAGGAGTGCTGCTGTCATAGTCAGAGCTAGCTGCAGACCGGCAAACCCAAGAAATGTATGGTTTTAAGAAACAGGAGTCTTGAATTATTGGCTGTTTCCTATCTGGTATTCCTCAACTAGTTGATATTCTCGGGGACCATATGCATAGGAACTTGGCAGGGAGAAGAGAAGAGGAATGTGTTCTCAGTATACCGTTTTTTTCTTCAAATCCTTGTTTTTTTCTCCTGTGTTTCAGAGAACAGTTTTATATTGGAGCAGGAGAGATTTTTATAAACAAATTACTTTCCCAAGGATGCGGAGTGTTTAGTAGTGTCTGCGAAGCAGTTAATTTCAAATGTACTGATGTGCAAAACCGAACTGCTGAGCCTGTGAGGCCAGCATGGTTAAATGACACGGTCACGCAGAAGTTACATAACACACACACACTGACATAAGTAACCTTTGGAAATTTGCTGCAAAGCAAATGTTGCATTTTGGTACCATTTTTGCCTAAAAATAGGAGATGTGTTATGAAATCCAACAAACTGGTTGCATGCTAAGAAGCCACCTTTCTTAACCAAAGATTTTCTGTTATTTGTAATAAATGTGACCACTGCTCTTAATGCCGCCTTTTCCCTCTCTCTGCTCTTCCCACTGCACTGTGGACATCTGTTAGAGATTTTATCCCTATTATTCAGTGCTCATTTAAGAATGATTTTTTGACTGTTCAGAAATACAAGAAACTGTACAGACAAATTTTGTTCTTAGAACTCATTTTCTTAGTAACACTTTACAAATGCTCAGGGTCATGTATGTGTCACTCTTGTAGGTCTGGAAAGAGATAAGTTTGATAACAAGACAGTCACATTTGAAGAGCATATTAAAGAAGAGCACAATATGTGGCACTATTTGTGCTTTATTGTGTTAGTAAAAGTAAAAGATTCAACAGAGTACACAGGACCAGAAAGTTACGTGGCAGAAATGATCAAGGTGAGTTTGGAGTTTTTCTTTCGTTTTCTTTTTTTTCTTTTTTTCTAAACTAAACTGATCTGCTGGGTTATTTGATTGGTAAGTACAGTCCTCTGTATTAAGCAAAAACTTGGAGTAAGACTTTTTCTACAGTAATAGGCTTAATCCAATGCCTTTCCTTTAAGGAGTGTCCTCTAAAGATGATAAAGTTAAGATGCATTTGGCAAAATAACGCAATAAAAAGGCATTGCAGGTGTGGTACTGTGTTGTAGGTTCCAGTCAGCCACAGCAAACTCATGGTTCAGAGGGTACAGGAGAGGCATTCTGGCAAACCTGCACGTGCTGCAGCACAGCAGTTGGGGATTTGCATCTGCGTACCTGCAGCAGCTAAGCCTCTAAAGCGTTCACGTGTGTATGCCCAAGGAGGTGGCGATATAAGCAGTGAAATCTAGGTAGTCTCCGTGGTTTTAGATCAGTCACCTAAGGATGAGGAGAGGTTATTCGGTTCTCAAAGCTGACGTACTTCAGTTCAAAAGAGAATGCTTTCATGCTGGTAGAAGTGTCTGAAGTACGACATACGGGTTATAACCTGTCCCAGTATAAATATCGTAAACTGACTTCTAAGATCTTTTGTCATATGATTTTAGCTTATTACTGTAAGAAACTCAAATTAGTGTCTACTCAAATTGTAAAGCCTTGCTAATGAGAGAATTAAAAGGCTTGTCTCTGCCAAGCTGCAGGTTCAGAGCTCCTGGAATTAGATCCTTTGTTTCTAAACCCCAGTTACTAATTTGTGTCTTCTGGCTGGTTAGCAAAAGCTTTTTCTGATTTATAACATTTCAATTAGTTATTACTTTATTTGCCTTCAGCCTCATGGACTACGCTCATGTAAAAAGCGGAATACTTGTCTTAACAATCTCTAGGGTTTTTTGCTGTAGAGGTGCAACTGTCTCTAGGGTTTTTTGCTGTAGAGGTGCCACCTTCAAGTGGGCTATTTATCTTGACCTATTCAGAACGTAAATCCCACTGAGACCTCTTAGAGGTTAAACATGTTACTTTGGGGTCACTGAAGTGTATGTCCTAGTTCTGGATTTCTGCCTCTGTAATGAGGACTTAAAGAAATCTTGTGAGCTGTCACCTGATAGAGGATTAGCACAGTGAGATAACTAAGTACATCACTGCTGCTTTCTAGTCTGACTCGATTATATTGCTCCCTTTATTCATCCCACCCCAGTGACTGTTACTTCAGGAGGAAGGATTGCACTCTTTTACAGTGCTACTGCTTATAAAGGAGTATTTTATATACCACGTTCAAACTAGTTTTAAAAAATTGTTCAAATTAGCTAGCAACTTATTAACTAATTATAAGTTCAGATCAGTAGTTAAAATTGGATAAGAAGCAAAACCCAGTCCTGGAATGCGATTGCAGGAAACACAAAAAGTGGAGAACTCTTGCCAGAAATCCAGGCGTTCCGTTCGTGGAAGTGACAGCAATGGCTAGTTACTACGTGTCGAATGGGAATATGGATGAATCGTGCATGGACCAAGTGTCGCATGCAGGTGCAGTTTTATATAGCTCTGTGTTTCGGGTGGAGATTTTGCATGTGTCTTGTAGCTGTTGCTTTTTGCATTTCATGAGCCAGTTTTGAACTGAGCTGAACTAGCTGCCATGCGGTTGCGAGTGTGCCTGGCCGTGCCCTGCAGGGCTGTTGCAAGCGTGCTGTAACTGTATGAGCTGGGGAATAGGAAGTAAGTTCATGCTTTGTGCATCAGTGGTCTCCCACAACACAGCACCGGCGGGACTAGCCCAGGGCGGGCTGCTGCTAGCCTCCTCTGGCAGTTCTCAGCGGCGTTTTGCAGTCTAGATACTCCTTACGACTGATCTGGCAAAGTTTGCTTTGAAACCTCGAAACAATTTCTTTCCATTGCCCTTTGATATTAAAAACACTCTCTTGTTCTTCTCTGCCCTGGAAAATCTGAATTGAAAACATTTTAAAATATATTTCTGCATCAGACCTGTTTTAAATACTTCAGTGAGAGTCAGAAGTCCTTTTGTCTGCTTGAGGCGTGAATGACTTGGTGCGTGGTTCAGGTTTGACTCAAACCTTCTTTATGTCTTCATTCCATAAACAAATCTAGAAGGAAAGGCTAAAGGAAAGCCTTAAATATTAACATCATTAATTCCAAAGGTTCACATTCCCCTCTCGGAGGTGCTGCATGTTTTGTCTATGTGTATGGAGCGAGAGGGAGCCCATGGCTGCCTAATGTGTGCAGCTACCACGTTCTTCTCAAAAGCCTACTTATTTCGTGGGTTAGATTTAAAAGGGAATTTTTTCCCCACATATTCAGACTCAAGGTGGCACTCTAACATCTTTGGTAATGACCTAAATGGGGCAGCTCTTTTTCCACTGCCTGTTATGCAGTACCATTGTTTAATTGAAATATATACACGCTTTCAGTAGTTTAGGGTAGGAAGCATCATATGCTCCAGATTATACTGCGATTATGAAATACACCTCAAATATGTTTCACCTTTGCTCTGACTCCCAACAGAATATCTCTAGAAACCTCTTGGATTTCTACCTTTTGGTAACAACGAAAATTAGTATTGGGGGCGGGGGGGCGGGTTTCCCCCAAACATTGCAGAACACTTAGAAAGAGTTATATCACCATCAGCTTGTGAGTTGCATCCAGTGCTACTTACACAAGCGCTTTAAAGATACTTTAAGCACTGTGATATCAAAAAAAAAAAAAAAGTGGACCGTTTCATTTATACCAGTTAGTGAATGTTCAGAAGCTGTAAGAATGATCCTCAAATTTGATGTTTTGTGTCTAAAAATAATGTGTGCAGAGAGGCAATTTTAAGGCTATCCACTGCACTGGATGCAGCAAAGCTAAATCTTGCCCATAGAACGTATCCTGCAGGAATCTGATCCAGCATAAAAAGAAATTGTAGCCATGAAAATCGATGATTAATTACGATTCTTTAGTGCATTTGTGTTTCTTCCTGTATAGAGGCTAACGAGGTCAGTGTCAGGGTGCAGAAAGAAGTCAACAAACTTGGAAACCAAGTTTAGAAATATTTTTAAAATATTTTGAACACCATAATCCTGATCAAAATAAACATCAAAAGACCACAGTGATCTGACAAAACCTAATCTACTGTATCTTAGTGCTCTGGTTTGTGACCATACCTTCCATAAGCTGTTTCCGGCCTATGACACTAATATGGGTCTGTCTTCGTTGTTTATAATTCTCAGGGTTTTTTGTTGAATTTTCTTTTTGTTTGTGGAACTCCTATTTGTTTGTGCACTGCAGCATGGGGACTGTGCTGCTTTGGTCCTGTAGCTCCAAGATTTTGGCAGGAGACCCGGAATTCATCCCCAGCTTTTCAGCTGTAAGTAGGGATATTGCTCCCCTTCATTAGTAAGGTGAACAGGTGCCTGCTGTGATGTCCACTGCCAAATTGGTGAGACACCTTAAGATTCGTAGTTAGGAATTGCTAGAGAAATGCAACGGGAAGAAGTGGAATTGCTGGCTCTGTTTGATGTAAAAACCAAGCCTGTGTACACGCCCTGGTTGTTTAAGTGAATCATCTGCTGTCCTGAAGTTTTTACCAGCGTTTTTTAAGGTTGATAATTTTATGGATTTCGGGAGATGGCAAGCAGAAGTTTGGCATGAAGCAGGTCACCTTCTAAAAGCGTTCTTGAATGCTCTCATAATACGTATTTAATAGCACAGAAAGTACCGTAAGAAGTGAGGGAACATCTAGTGGTACTAGAAATGGCCTTTAATTCTTGCTGTTTATAAGGCTCTTCTGATGACCTCACTTCTGTTCATCTAGCTAAATCACTGCAGATGTTCATTTAAGATAGTGAGGCTTCAGGATGGATCAATGTCTTTTGAAAAGTGTTTATCTGGAAAGTATGCTAATGTTGTTAGAGCCAATAGTCCAGTGCATCTCGTGTTTCCCAGGAACAAAGGCATATGGTTTGGTTGCTATATTGCTTTGTAGTCACCAGGGAAGATCAGGTGATGTCTGAATAATACCGCGTGTGTAGGAGGTGGGGGGGATCCACTTATCGTGTTGGCCAGACATTGACATCCACACCCAAATGACTAATGTGAACTTGGTGCAACTCCCTACGGATTAATTCCTTTAAATACCCTATCTACCCATCCTCGCAGGCTTGAGAGTTTGCTCTTACGTTTTCTGCATTTGCCTCCAGTTACTGTAGCAGACTGGTATGGAACAGCCCCACTGGTACAGCTGCCTTTTGAGTGTTGGCAAACCTGCTACAAACAGCTGTTTGCAGGCTTTTGCAGTAGGTAGAAAGCGTGCGCTCTGGAGCTCGGTACATGGAGAACTGCATGCACGCTTTCACCTTTTGTGCACGAGGCGTTGTGCTTGCAGCCGCAGTGTGCTGTCGCTCGCATGGGCAAGTATTTGCATAGACAGCTCTTGCATACGTAACGTGGATTTAAATATCCACCTTCGTGGCAGCCTTTGATCCGTGTGGGTAAGAGCTACATGCCTGTGAGTGATTTAGCGCACCCAGATGTGCCTATTAAAAAATAAAGACTTGTTTGGAAGTGTTCAACGTGGAGCTTCCTAGCTAGTCCTTGCCATTTCTGCAAACTCTTGATCTTGTGTTGCACCTGGGACGCATGTCATATAACCCTTGTTACAAAACTGAGGTAGAGTGGTGTAAGGGATTACCCAAGCTCACATGTCCAGATCTAGAGCTCTCACTCCCAAGTCTTAAACTGGGTTGTGTCATCATTTGAAAATAAACCTTTCAGAAATGGAAGTGATGGTGCAGATACTCTTATGGAATCTGGAGTGGAAATGAAGACTTTAAAAAATTTCTTTTTGTGCCCGAATTGACTTCTTCATACAAAGTGGGCATTTAACTGTAGTGTTGTTTCTCTTCTCTTTTTAACTTCAGCCACATCCCATACCATAGATGGAAAGTGTTTTTGGTTGTTGTTATTTTGAGTATTCAGCGTAGCCCTTGACT